CTCTCCGGCTGAGCAGCCCTAAGCCTGGAACTGGTTCATAGCAGCCAGCCTTAGTTTGAAGCTTGGCTTCTTGAGGCACTTTCAAGCACGGCATGGGCAGTGGCCATCTGTGGATTGCTTTGTGGCTCCTGCCAGGTGGCCCGGGGGGGGGGCGGTGCACAGACTGCAGCTTAACTTGATCTGCAGCAGATTCTCTCCCAGATGGCCTGGAGCTGGCTTGCCCAGTGGCCAGCTTCAAAATAAACTGGAGTATCACCCAGCCACCTCCAAGGACAACACACCCAATGGGCAGATTGGGCAGGCACCAGAGCCTTGCTGAGGCAGATTCTGCTCTGTAGGGTCAGCCCCTGCACCACAACTCCTCCACTGTAGTCAAGGCCAGTCCTCACAGCCAATGAGCCTGAGGGTCAGTCTCTCCCATTGATATGCAAACAGCAACCAAGGTTCAACTACAAGAGACACTACACACAACTCACACAAGGGACACAACTGGAGTGTGTGGCTCAGATGACCAGGAAGACTGCTCTATGATCCCCAAAGCACAACTACTGCATAAGTCTACTCTACTAAGACCAGGAGACATAGCAGCTCTCCCAAATACATAGAAACAAACACAGGGAGGCAGCCAAAATGGGAAGACAAGAAAACACATTCCAAATTAAAGAACAGAATAAATTTCCAGAAAAAGAACTAAAAAAAAGTACAAACATGCAATCCACCAGATGCAGAGTTCCAAACACTGGTTATAAGGATGTTCAATGATCTCAGGGAGAATTTCAACAAATAGATAGGAAACATAAAAATGGAGATAGAAAACATAAAAAAGAACCAAAAAAAGAACCAGTCAGAAATAAAGAATACAATAATGGAAATGAAGACTACATTACAGGGAATCAACAGTAGATTAGAAGAAACAGAGGACTGAATCAGCAATTTAGAAGATAAGGTAGCAGAAAACACCCAATCAGAACAGCAAAAAGAAAAAAGAATCCAAAAAAATGCGGATAGTTTAATAGACCTCTGGGCAACATCAAGCATACGAACATTCACATTATAGGGGTACCAGAAGGGAAAGAGAGAGAGCAAGGGATTGAAAACCTATTTGAAGAAATAATGATGTAAAACTTCCCTAACATAGCAAAGGAAATAGATATACAAGCCCAGGAAGTGCAGAGTCCCAAACAAGATGAACTAAACAAGCTAACACCAAGACACATCATAATCAAGATGCCAAAGGTTAAAGACAAAGAGAGAATCTTAAAAGCAGCAAGAGAAAAGCAGTTAGTTACCTACAAGAAAGCTCCCATTAGACTGTCAGCTGATTTCTCAACAGAAACTTTGCAGGCCAGAAGGGAGTGGTAGGAAATGTTCAAAGTGATGAAAATCAACTACCTACAACCAAGATTATTCTACCCAGCAAAGCTATCATTTAGAATCAAAGAATAGATAAAGAGCTTCCCAAACAAGAAAAAGCTAAAGGAGTTCATCACCACCAAACCAGTATTACAAGGAATCTTAGAGGGACATTTTTAAGATGAAAAATAAATAAATAAATAAATAA